TGCCAAGACTGTGTCTGTCTTGGGGCAGTTGATTGTCTGTATTGAATCTTTCCTCTCCTTAGCCTGGTTTTGTAGGTGCTAATTGATGCTCATTAAGTAGTTATATAGTAGCTAGGTCCTGTGTATTGAGCTGGTCCCTGAGTGAATCATGATTGATTGATTGGTAACTGGTAACACAGCAGTTTAGCAGCCAGGCCTGCAGTCGTGTCTCCCCTCTCCGCCCCAAGACAGACACAGTCAGTCCCAAAAGCACCCATGGCATGAGTTTTGCTTGTCCACAGCTTGAGGGGCAGTTCCCCCCAAGCCCCTGCACCGATCTTCTTGAAACATGGCAGACTTTGTGGACTCAGTAAGAGCTACCACCCCTGCAGTTTTTACCCCACTATGTTGTAACGCCTAGACGTGATATGAGTTTTGCTTAAAAGAATTTGGGGTGCTGTTCCCCCCCAAACCCCTGCACCGATCTTCTTGAAACTTGGCAGAATTTATCATCTCTGCAGAGTCTACCATCCTTGAGAATTTCATCCAAATCAGACAAAAAACAAAGTTTTAGATATTTTATTGTTTCCCTGTTATACCCTATGGCCGGATCTCCGAGGTGGCTTCGAAGCTCTTCAGAAGCTCCGAACCACTTTGGGAAGCCTAACAAGGCCAGCACTTTGACCCAGATGTGCTGCTTCGGACCCCAAAGCATCCAGAGCTTCTCCGGATCCAAAGCTCTGTCTGAAGCCTCGCACAGCCCTAGTGTGCAGTGGCATAAAAATAAACCCCCTGCTTTCTTGCTCTCCCATGTCATTTTAGTACATCATCCATGACGTTGCACAAAAAAGAACCTCCACACAACACTTGCACATATAAAGAGGGGTATAAGAAAGTCAGTCCATATTACTCTGTACTGGAAAGGACTCAGATCAAGTGTTCTGACCAGTTTGGGGCACCACACTTCAAGAAGCTGTGAACCAACTGGAGATGATCCAGAGCAAACATTAGAAATGATCATGGCCCTAGTCGAAACTTGTTTCGTTCAGAGCATGGCTGTCCAGCTGGCAGCCTGTGGCCTGCATGCAGCCTGTAAGGGGTTAGTTTGCAGGCCCTGGGCTCTAACGTGGCCACTACTGGCTTCCACTGTTGCTCTGGCTGAAGCAGGTGTAGCAGTAGTTGGAGGCTCTGGGCACCTCTTCCCTCTGGCTTCTGCTTTCTGGCCTTCCCTAGAGGGTAGGGCAGAACTGCATTGCACGCTCCCCAGTGCTGGGGAAGCCCATGGCATGGAGTGCTGGTGCAGCATGATACAACAGAGGAACCTGAAGATGGACCTGGGACAATTGCTCTAGCCCATCCCTTGCCTAGGGACCTGAAGGTGGGTCTGAGGCAACTGCTCCTGTGCACCTCCATGCACAGTGGAGCAGTGGGGAGAAAGCACCCATGTCCAGTGCCCTGAACCCCAAGCAATGAGGGTGGGGAAAGTGCCCATGTGCTCAGTGCAGCAGTGGGAGGGTGCAAAGTGCCCACCTTCTGGGAGTGCCCGCCTGTCTGGTATGGTAGGGAGCCCATGGACCCCACATGATGTAGCCCATGCTGGAGCAAAATACATGGTGTACCATCCCAGACACTAATTTGGACAGCCCTGATCAAGAAAGAGGGAGCCCAAATTGGACATACAGTAACAGTCTCCAAATATGTAAAGGTTAAAGTAGCAAAGATTATGGTCTGTTCTCCATGTTGGCTGGGAATAAGGCTAGAAGTAATGGGCTTAAATTGCAACTAAGGAAAAGTATTTTAAATAGTAAGAGAAAGTTTCTAACTATGAGGAGAGTTTAAGACTGGAAAGGTTGTTACCTGGGAGTGTTAGGGAAGGTCTATCATTTGGTGGTTTTAAAAGCAGACTGGAAAAAAGTAATTGATCCTGCCTCAGGGCAAGGGGAAGGACTAGATGACCTTGTGAGGTCCCTTCCATTCCCAGTCTCTATGATTCTGTCTATTGTGTTACATGACTGGATGAAGAGATCCATCCAGTCATGTTCTAATTGAAGATTTTTAGGTAAAACACGTCCTAAACACATCCTGTCTCCTGATTAACAGAAACTTAATGCTGTGTCTCACTGCATGTGTTGTGAGTGGGATTCACTTTCCCTGTGCTCTTGTGTTGATAGGAACACAGTGAAGATGGAAAGCCAAGCCTGTACAAATCTATGGTCAGGAACTCCTGCAAGGAGATATCAGCCTTCTCAGACTTCTCCTGTCCGGAGCATTTTCCAAACTATCTGCCCAACTCCAACTTCTTTGAATACCTGAAGCTGTATGCAATGCATTCTGACCTTGTGAAGCACATCCAGTTCAAAGTGAGCTACAGAATGTATTGCTCCATTGAAACACGAAGATAAGAGCCTGCTAATGCTGCCAGTTAAAAGAATTATACCTTTAGACAAGCAATCAAGGCTTATTGGTGGGCCAATTGGAATCAGTCATGTATATAGTAGCAGTTATGTATATAGTTGCAGGTAAAGGTTTAATGGGTCTAAGTCTGATATCTTTTGTAATGCAGAGTTAAAAATCAAAGTTTCTCAGTTGGCTCCCAAGGACATTCTGTCCTGGGAAGTCTAAGGGAGACTGGCTCTAAACACAGGGCCACTAACCTCCATAACACTTGTATTCCAAAGTCTGACCCCCAAGTTCAGAGATGCCTCTCCACTACAGTAAACACCAGTTTACTTGAGTTGGAGAGTCCAAGAACAAGACCAGCACTGGCATCCTGCTAGTCATCAAACCACTTATCACTGCTAGGTTTTTAGCACAGCCTATGGAGATGCTATGTAGCTTGGTAATAAAATTCCCAGTGCTCACTGCCACAAGTAACTTAAGGATGCCTTGACCCTCTTGTTTTCTCTATGAACTGTCCATCTCTAATCCCAACTGCATGTTCAGCTGCATACAGGACTGATTTGTGGACTGAGAAAAGGGACATATGAAACCCCTTCCACAAGTAACAACACTTGCATTTTGGTTATGTGTTGGTACCATTTGTGGGCCGGGGCCAGATCTTCAAAGGGTTTTAGGCACTTATAAATGCAGGTAGATTCCTAGTACTATTTCTTTAAGCACCCAGACACCTAACTCCCACTGAAGCTGCTAAGAGCAAGACACCTACTTCTCAAAAAACACCATTAAAACTCTGGCCCACAGGGTTTTAGGTACTGAACAAGCAGAACACAAAGATGGTCCCTGCCCCATAGGCTTGTTCCCAACACACTAAGAAGAAGATATGTCCTCTTGTCTTGACCTGGTTAGTTTACTTCTTTCTGTTTAATTTTTCAGACCACAGCATAAAGAAATGCTCAGATTTCTCTACCACCAGCCAATGGGATGTTGTCACAGAGTCCAACGGGAAGCAGGGGTCATCTGTCCTTGATGCTGTTATGGTTTGCATTGGATACCTTTCAGAGTCTTTCCTCCCACTGGAATCTTTCCATGGTACATGTTTTGTATTTACTATTAAGTGCTTCCATGTGTTTGGCATGGAGGCTGATAAATCCAATGAAAACATGTCGTTCCTGTACGCTAAATTCCTGGCTTTGCCCATTGCCATCAACTGACCTACCTTATTAGGGAAAAGTCTTATTCTCCTTGGTACCTCTTACAGATATTGTTAATTCACTAACAGGTAGGCAGGAGTCCCCTGTGGTTCAGTGATGGAATCCTTGTCTACCACACGGAGACCTGGGTTTGATTCCCAGACACTTATACAACTACAGCCCTGGAGACACCAAACATCTGGACTCAGTCTGGTCTTTGGGTTTGTCTCAGTGGCCTAAAGGAAGGATGGAAGGTCTGGGCAGCTTCCACTCCTCCAAAAATTGCTGCCTAGGGATATGCATTGAAGGTCTGGGTGGCCCTAATGCATACACTACGATCCAGGAGGATCAACAGTTGCCATCACCAACAGGTGTGCAAGGTGCAATATAATTGTGCTGGGCAAATTACACAGAGAACTGGTCTGCAGTAACATGTTACAGATCATAATATGATGTGGTTTGGGCCTACCACCAGAAATTTTTTAAAACTTTTGGTCGCATTATTTCAGCTTTTTAAATCATAGCCCTTGGTTCAGAGGTGGAGATGACTTACCTACATGCATGCATATACAGACACATACGTACACAGTCTCATGAACCACTTTAAATACATTCAGAGCCAGTTCCTGGTTCCTTTCCTCATCACCTCTGCTGGAGTTGGGCTGAGAGCAAGAAGTGATTGATATTTCTCTCCCTGTTCTGCGGTCCTGCAGCCTCCATGTTTTCTGGTATGGGATAGGTGGGAAGTGGTTATTCTGGTTCCTTTCTTCTCCCTAGATTTGTTGCTGCTGATCTCAGTAGGGCAGAACAGAGAACCCCCTTAATTGTTTTTCATATACTGTAGGCAGTATTCTCCAGGCAGTATGACACAAGCCTGGGAATTTACAGATTCACAGAAGTTTAGGGCTGAAAGGGACCTCATGAGATCATCTGCAGTTTGTTTCCCAGAAAAACATCTGGTCTTTAATATAAAAACTGCAAAAGTCCACCATCTCCTTAAGTCAGATGTTCTGTATCACTGGCTGAGTATATAGATTTAGACACCCACATCTCTTCAGTCAGGGGCAGAGGTTGTTACCATGATCATTTATTCTTCCATAACTAGACAGATATATATAAGCAACCGTCAACCCTCTGGATCATGCTGTACACACAAGAGGCCTAGTCAGGTAGGTGCCTGATGGAGGTAGGTGCCCGGTTCTAGGAGGTTCTAGGGATTAGACTCATCACTTCTTGCTGATGAGTCTAATTCAAGAGCAACATAGCTTGTTACAAGTTTTATAGATGCATATGTTGCCTGAGCTGGAGTCCAAGTTTACAGCACGCTGCTTTCTTCTTTCTTGCTTTTCTTCCACCCTCTGGATCAAAGCAGCTTCATGTTGTGCTGCACCCAGTGTCAGTTGTTCCCCCCTAGTCAGACAGGATATATAATGGGAATAAGGTAGATGTCTAGGTCTACACTTCTGTCATTTTATTCTTTTTACCTCTTGGTCAGGAAAAAAGGTATGCTCCTATGCTGGAGTTGAGGAGAGAGTAAGAAGTGATTGATACCTCTCTCCCTGCTCCATGGTCCTGCAGCTTACAAGTTTTCTGTGATGGGAAAGGTGGGAGGTGGTTATTCTGGTTCCTTTTTTCTCCCTAGCTTTGATGCTGCTGGTCTCAGTACGACAGAACAGAGTACCCTACACCTACATTTCTTCAGTGAGGGGCAGAGGTGGTTACCATAATCATTTATTCTCTCATAACTAGACAGATATGTAATAGGCGTAAGGCAAATGTCTAGTTCTGCACTTCTATTGTTTTTATTATTTTTTACTCCTTGGTCAGGAAAGGAATTTCATTAACATCGGTGGACTCTGAGATATGACAGATATTCTTGGACTATTGCAAAAAAGAAGAGTCACTGGTTTGACTATGCAAACTATGGCCTGATTCTGAATAATTTAAATTCATTCAACAAGTGCTCTTCTCCCTTTCTTCTCCAGGATGTAGCTCAGAATATGGCTTGATTCTTCAGGACAGGTAGTTGTGGGCTTCTAGTCAGTATGATGATAAATTGGTTTCTGCACTGGACAGTGGAGGGAGAAGTGCATTCTGAACTGAGATAAATAAGATCTCGCCCCCTGACCAGTGCAAATCCATTCACTGGATGTTATTCAGAAAGGTCTTTATAGCCCAGCTGAAGAAGATAATCTCCTCACCTGCATCATGCAGATGAGAAGCACTTTTGAATAGCCTGTTGCAAAGAACTAGTGTATGTCTGCTATGACTTCACTCCTGCAGCAACCTGTAAAGGGAGACTAAAGTGGACTTTTTCTATGAAAAGTGAATCTAAAATTAAATTGGGTGGCCCAGACAGCATGCATGGGAGGTGACTATGATGTCTGTGTGAAACAAGCAGGCTGTAGGAGTGGGTTCCTTTAATTCAGGGGTGTTGGACCCATCTGGCCCGACAGGTTAGAAGGGTGTGGGGCTAGTCTACAAACCAGATCAGGGTCACAGATTGGCCCCATGACTCTCTGCATGTGTTGTTTGCAGCGCGTACATTGGCTCCAGCCCTACATGCTGTATGCAACACACACTGGCCCCAGCCCCGCATGTGGCACACAACAAGGGCACACATTACCCATAGCAAGAAGGGCCAATTTGGGGCACAAGCTGCATGTAGCACCCACACCAGCCTGGCCTTTTGCACTGGAACCAGCATGTGGGGCCAGTCTTCAGGCATGATCTCAACCAGTCCTAGATCCAGCACACAGGGCTGGGCTGGCACAGGTGTCACATACACTGTGTGCCAGCTCCAACCCAATGCAGCACATGGCACATAGGACCAACCCAAGGTGCCCATGCACTAGGTCAGAGGTTCCCGGGCCACGAAGAGTTGGCTGCCAGTTTGCAGGAGGGTTGGCTGCCAGACTGGAAGTCCGTTAGTAACCAGCATACTGCAGACTGGCAGCCAACCCTTTTTTATACTGAGTATAAAAAACATTCCTGATCCACCTACCCCTCAGTATAAAAAAGGGTTGGTTGCCAGTCCGCAGTATGCTGGTCACTTCTGGTCTGCAGTATGCTGGCCCGCAGTTTGCCAGTCCACTGTCCCTTCCAGTCCGTGATCTAAAAAGGCTGAGAACCACTGCACTAGGTCCAGCACAGATAGCCACTCTGTGGGCCTGATCCATATCAGCCTCAGTTCCAGCATGCAGGGCTGGGCCAGAAGTAGCACATGCCCCAGACCGGCCCCATGCTGTGTCCCACTCACACTAGATGTGTTCTACATGCCACATGCAGTGTGTGGGGCCAGAACCAGTGCACACTGTATGTGGCAGACAGCACTGCAGGAAAAATGATACAGCTCCACAAGACATGGCTTGGACACTCCTGCTTGAATTTGATCAGAAGTCCCTATAGTCTTGTCTGAAATGGAATGAAATATGGGGCATTGCTTTCAGGATCCCAAGTCAGGTGACATTTGTCATCACTGTTCCCTGCAGGTGAGAAGTCATGCTCTAACTCTGTTGAAGCATGTGGTAGTAACAGATGTTGTCTTGGGTATCCCTGCACCTCGACTCTCCTTCTATTTGTTTCCTTACAGAAGAGTGGTGTGGGAGTCAGTGTTGCATGATAACTTGCAAGCCACATCATCACAGGGAAAATCATGCTTGCTATTGTCAGTCTGATCAAGCTCTTTGGTGCAGTGATGCCTGTTGTGGAGATGCAAGCATGTTGGATTACACGGGTCTTTAAGGGCAGGTGTAGATGTGTGCTCTTTATGTAGTGGAAAAAGGAAAAGAAACAAAGTATGTTTCAGACACATGTTGTAGAGAGGTATCACCTCACAATGATTAAGATTCCAAAGGATTCTCTTTTGTGGAGAAGAATAGTGTTTACTGATTGACTTTCTAAATCAGGTTGTGCCACATTTGACTTCTCCACCGTACTCTTTAGAAACCAGTGGAATGCTTTGCATAAAACAAGCAAAATACCCCAGAGTGAGACACAATAATCTTCTTGAAGACAGTCAATGCGCTGTCTCAAGGGAATTCAGGACCCTTGTTTTTTCCTCTTAGAAACTTACCGCATTTCATCAGTGGGGTAAGAACAGAGTTAAAAAAAAATAAATCAGGAAGCTAGGACCAGTGTGCAAGAGTGTTGGCCCTTCTTCATTCTGAAAGTAAGGGTGACCACACTTGTGCTGCACATCATAGGGCTTTTTAGGCAGCTTCTGGAGCTCTTAACCCCTGATCGTCCACACATTAATACATGAAACTAGTTGTGAGCACTCACTAGGTGGCTGAAAGTTAGGCCACTCCAGCCTAGGTTTCTCTCTGATCTGTGTGACCTATTTCATGTTACACTAAGGTGTAGCCACTCTAGGCTACACCTTAATGTAAACACTCCACTCCCTACCCCTTGCCCGCTGGCCCATATCAGACCCACTGCCTCTCCCTAGTACCCCAGATCCCTGCTAACTACCTTCTCCCCCTCCCCCATGCTTACTTGTGGCTGCTCATGCTGTCTGTCCTGGCATGACATGTACCAGGCATGAGAGATGGAACTAATCTCTGAGTGGTGCTTACTGTGGAGGCCAATAAATGTGGTCTCAGTCCCTGGCTGGTCCAGCTGAATTTCAGTTTCTCTTTATACTGGTTTTTAAATTAATTGAATTAAATCACTACAAGCCTAGCTGAAACCCAAATAAGCATGTCTGTCCACAGCCTTTTACTGTAGCTTGCATCCATTTGTTTAAAATCATGACTTAAGTTATACTCATGCTGTGGTGCACACTATCCTCAGATGCAGGCAGGTTGTACCTTTTGAGCCACATTCACAGGGTGCTTATACACCTTTGGAGTGCCTTTCTACTACAAACATCTCTCTGCTGTCTGCTGCTGGACCACT